CGTCACTGTGTCAAACATTTCTACAACAATTTAAGAAATTAATTTTCAAGCATACAGTTGAAAGATAAATTATGGAATGCAGATAGAGCTACTTACTTTAGATCTTGGAAGAAAGAAATGGATGAAAAAAGGCTTCAGATTCAAGGCTTGGGAGATTACGATGAAGAAAGATCCTAGAACATGATCAAGGTCTACATTTAGCCCATATTCTAAATGTGATATATTATTAAACAATATGACAGAAAGCTTCAATTCTATTATAATTAAAGCATGGTCTAAACTAATCATCACAATGTTAGAGATTATAAGAACAACAATAATGAAGAGGTTTAGTGAAAATAGGCAGAATAGGTTAACGTTCAAGGGACCAAGTTGTCTAGTGATTCAAAAAAAGCTAAACAAAGAGAAAAAGGAAAGTATTAAATGGTTCTCAATTTGGTGCGGGACTCAATATTACCAAGTTTCATCTGGACCTCATTGCATTGAAGCTCAATATGTTGTGAACCTTGTAGAGGAGACTTGTAGCTCTAGAAAATAGGATATTTCAAGGATTCCGTGTTGTCATTTAGTAGCTTCGATGATGCTTGCCGGGGTGGAACCTAAACAATATGTTCACAAGTATTATAACAAAGAGGCCTACATAGACTATTATGAGCCAACAGTACATGCCACGAGGGGGGAAGATCAATGACCTAAAGCAGAGTGAAAGGACCTAAATCCCCTTGTGTATAAGAGGATGGGAGGAAGGTTGAGGAAATAATGAAGATTAAAGCTAGATGAGCAGAGAATTGGAAAATGTGGTGCAAAAGTAAGAGGAACACACCAGCAAAATGTTAAAAGTGTTAAGAGTTGGACACAATGCGAGGACATGCAAAGGTGAGGAAATAGAAGTTGATGATGTGACAAGGAAAAAAGCACCAAGGAGGGATACAAACAAACAACAGAAACAAGGAGCAGTTGTAAGTATTAACCAGTTCATTTATATTGAATTTGAGCTATGTTATTTAAATTATACTTAACAAAACCTAAAACTGATAAAGCCTGAAACCCAAAGCTATATAACAAATGACAAACTTGAAATATATATAGTCAGAATATATACACAAGTATTCCTGATTCAATTTACAACTTAATCCCTTATAGTCAGATACCAATATTGGCAGTTAAATAGGATGTTCCCAACTTATTTAATGGGGTTGTTGGGTCACCCACATGCTCCTTTATGGTTTGGTCTCTTACATTCATTTTTCCTTTTAATCGCGCATATTTATAAGTATAATTGTATTTTATTCCATGTGGTGTGATCTTATACCAATGAGAAGGTGTCGATCTCAATCTGGAGCTCAATCTGGATCTCAATCAGGAGCAACTATAAGTTTCATTCTTTATATAATTTTTTGTTTCATAATTTCTCACTTTAAACATGTTTTGATCTATATGCTAGGTCGATGCAGGTCCAAGATTAAGGACAAGGGCATGCTCGACACAACAGTCTACAAGTAGGAAGTCTCGCGGAGCTGGACCAACACATGCCACAAAATGATCTTGTGTAAATTGTGGTCGCTTTTGTCTTTTTGGGTTCTACTATCAGTTTTTTGATTGTTATATTACCACAAATTTTGGGATGTGTTATTGTGGCAAATTTTTGTCTGAATGATACTTAACAATTTGGGATGTGATTGTGGCAAACATGCTTTGGATTTTAAGACACATGTGCAAACTAATTGAATGCAAACTGGAGATTAAATGCAAAGTGTAGTTTATTTTTTTAAAAATTCTGGTTGCTTTCAATGGAAGTATCTGGTATATCGGATGATACTTAACAATTTGGTGTACATGGATTTTAGATGTGAATGCAAATAGGGAGATTAAATGCAAAGTACAATACGTGTTCGATGTATTTGTTTGCATTAGATATACTTTCTTTGGAGTTGTTTGTTTCTGATAGATTTGTTCAGGTTCTTCATTTATTTTCATCACTATTTGGTGAATTTGGCTCAATACTTGTGAACTCCAAACATTCTAATATTCTTTTTTTTAACATTAATGTTGCTTCATCGAGTACATCAAGCTCCACGTTATAACAACAATAGATAAACATAAGAGCATATTAATATTGAGTGCATCAAACTCATCCTTACAACATGATCAGAGATACAACCTGTTGATGGCTGATATCAAACAACTAATGAGAAAAGTGATCTAGTTGATGGATGTCCTCTGAGCCTCCGAATGTCCAGTTCTAAGGCAAATTATAAGAGGGTGGGGTTGGATTCCCCGGTTATTCCTTCGACGATCAAGTCAGTAATTTGGTTGAGAGGAGAAGTAAATGAACTGTAAAAGTTCTTAAGTATTATGGGTAGAGATAAAGATCTTACATTTATGCTGAAAATAGTAAATATATTTATAGTAGTAATATGGGGGGTAGGATGGTAACTTCGACTGAGTATGGGTTAGGGACCAGTCAGCATCTACTTTATATGTGTTGGCCGACAAGTGGAGGAGAGGTCACTTCCACATTTAATGTGAAGTGATTGGAGGCGTACGGTGCTAATATGGTCCGCCGTGTCATAAAGACTATAAAGACAGAGAAATGATGATGCCCATTATGTATTTAATGGTATTTATGGTAAGGTGATCAGTTGTCAGTGCGCGGGAAGGGCTCGAGGCTCGAGGTAGTCATCACCTTTCTATTCGTCCGGTAGAAGGTCGAGAAGTACCACTTTTTAGTTGCCTTCGCGAGATGTCGGTTGGATGGTCAGCCGAGTAGGTTGATCAAGAAGTCGACCTAGCTAGGGGTCGACATTTAACGCTTTTTGAGTCACCCTCGCGAGATGTCGGCGTGTCGAGTCGTCCAAGCTGGGTCTTTGGTTATCTTGAAGTAAAGAGCTGGCTTGATTACGCATAACATGAGACATTTGTCTGGTATTGATTGGAGATTACTTTTTAGCACTAAAACGGCTATAACATAACCATACTAATAAAACACTAAGATAATAAATAACAATGATTTCTTGCAAAAACAACAACATCAAGGAGTGCATCAATTCCATTTACAATAACTCAACAATCTAACAATAATGCCAATGCTAATAGCTAATGCACAAATAGCTAAAGTCAATATAAATCCTAATTTATTCTCTATATCTTTCTGCGTCGCCATCTTCTTCCCCAGATTTCCAAATTTTTTGACTGCATTGGACATTCTCTCTTCATGAAACAAAGAATTTCTTAAGCTCTCGCCAATTAAACTAGAGTTTTTTACTTTCATTCTCCAACGTATTTTTCGAATGAATCCATCTGAAATAGTTACAACCTCCTCCAACTTCATCCCACACCGAACACCCAAAAAATTCCTATCTTTGCTTTGTTCCTTCTTTGACATTCTGACTGCAGCTCTTCTTCCATAATGACAAGGGGCTTATTGTATAAACTGGAGCTTAAACTCATTTCAATTTGGAGAAATGAAAATTAGTGTTTATAAAAGGGATCCTAGGGATTGAGATTTAAGAAGAGTCTTTGGTTCAAATCTATTGAGTAATGGGAGGAGGAGTGGAGGAGGAGAAGTTTTGTGCAATTTAGGGTTTTTGAGTACAAAGGGGTTTTTCTTCAATTTGGGTACCGGAGGTGGAAGGTGGTAGGGGATTGACCAACTTAAGCTGCTGATAAATAGGAGAGCAAGGTGAGAGAGATAAAATAAAGTCTAGTCAGCAATATACCTAAAATGACGAAACAATCTCTGTCACGTCATCAAAAGTTAACAAAAATATTCAAAAAAGATCAGCATTGATAACGGTGTAAACGTTAGGGGCTGGTATTGATGAGTTTAAAACGTTAAGGAAAAACGTTAAGGACCCGAATGAAATACGCTATAACATTAAGAGGCTGTTTGGTTGGCCAATTTTATAGAAATGTTTTCTTAAAAGTATTGACAATGACATTTTTGTAATTAAAAATTTTCTATAGATTTCCGTGGTTCAAAAATATTCACAGAAATATTTTCTGCAAAGTACAGAAAATACGTCATTTTATAGAAAACAATTTTCGCTCAAAATGGGCGGAAATCACCCAGAAATATGACGCATATATTAAAAAAATAATTAAGTACATCATTACTCTTCCATGTGATTTCTATAAAGTAAGCTATTTTCTATAAAGTAAACTATTTTCTATAAAGTGACATCCAACCAAGCAAAAAAGAGGAAAATTTGCTATTTCTATAAAATTATGAGCCCATTTTCTTGTTTTGAACCAAACAAGTAAAGTACAAAAATAAAATAAAATTTGTACTTTTTGACTTCTCAAAACTTTTCCTATAATTTTTTTAGGAAATACAAGGAAATCATAGTTTGAGTGAAAAACATTTCCTATAATTTGTAGAAATTGAACCAAACACCCCCTAAGAATCTATGTTGAAGTTTTGCCCTATGCATCTCAAAGTAAAATTTTTTGGTTCTCTAGCAAACCTTTCCTTGATAACTTTATTGACATAGTGGCTAAAACATCAAATGTTTTCAAAACACCTTTGGACCCAGAAATTGTTTGTTTCTCGGGCCTTTCTGTTGCCTACGGCGTCGAATTTATTCTGGACCGTTGATCTACATCATTCTAATCTGGACGGTCGGGATCGATGTCGATCCCGCGTACAGAATACGCGAAAGGATAATAAAACCTCAAGATTTATAAGCAAAGCAGAGCGCTCGCTCAGAGAGCAAAACCTTCGGGGTGGAAAAAAAAAAGGAAAAAGAAAAGAAAAGTAAACCAAAAAAAAAAAAAAATGTCGTCGTCTTATCATTTCTTGTAAAGTTCTATTTTTTCTTTCGGCTAAACCATTCTGTTGGGGAGTATAAGGTGCTGGACATTGATGAATAATGCCATGTTCTTCACAAAAAGTATTAAAATTATCAGAAAAATATTCACCATCTCTATCAGAACGTAATACTTTAATTTTCCTTTCAAGTTGATTTTCAACTTCTGTTTTGTATTTTTTAAATTCGGGGTGGAAAAAAAAAAGGAAAAAGAAAAGAAAAGTAAACCAAAAAAAAAAAAAAATGTCGTCGTCTTCAATTCTTCGCGCCTCTCCTCTAATCATCACTCGTTTCTCCTCTCTCTCTCGATTCCCTCGCAAGATTCCGCCAAGATTCCATTATAAAAGAATCTCGTTCCTCTCCTCTTCTCATCCCCCTTCGATTCCTTCTCCAATTTCTTGCTATTCTTCTTCTTCTACCGCTCAATTCGAAACCCTAACTCCCGAAACCACTCCCAAATCCAAGTCCTCACTGCAATGGATCTCAAGAACGGCGAATTGCGGCGAATTAGGGCTCGGAGACGTCGGGAAGCGAGTCACGCTCTGCGGATGGGTGGCGCTTCATCGGATTCACGGGGGATTGACGTTTTTGAATCTTAGGGATCAGTCTGGGATCGTTCAGGTGAGGTTTTGCCCTAATTTGGTCTGAATTTGATTTGGTTTGATTTGGTTTTGGCCTTCTTTTAGGTTACGACGTTGCCTGATGAGTATCCGGAGGCTTATGAGGTTGCAAATAAGTTGAGGGTTGAGTATGTGGTTGCGGTTGAGGGGACTGTTAGGGCTCGGCCGGGTGAGTCTGTGAATAAGAAGATGGTGACTGGGGATATAGAGGTAAAATATGAATATTGCAGTCTTTATAACAAGTGTTCTGTGCAATCTGATGTTAGTGAACTTGTAAAGTTCACATTTTTATACATTATTTGGACTTGTATGCTAGTAAGAGAAAATTTTCTCAATTTTAGTCAGATACAAAAATACCAGTTCTAATTTAGTAGTAGGTTGGACCAAGGTAGAGAAACTAAGTTCTTTCTAACTTCGGGTACATACAGAACATTTATAAGAGTCAATTTCTTTCCAGAAGTATATCAACAGTCCCTTTTCCAGCAACCTTTGCACATGCATTATTCCCCATTTGCACTTCTGTAATTTCCGAAATTTCTTCAAATCCTTTGAACAAGGATTTGTCCTTGCAAACGTGGATTGTTGCTCCAGAATCAAGCCACCATCCAGACTTAACAGAAGCCATATTGATTTCAGAAATCATTTAAAACTGAAAGATATTTTGGACACAGCTTTTGTTGCTCTAGAGGTTAAAAAATATAGTGAAAAAATTTAGCAATGATGGTTGGCAAAGTAGTTTCAGAATCTACTGGGAGGAAATAATTTATGAAAACACCTTCTATTTGTGAATATTCGTATGGTCTTCTATGGATGCTACATTGTGGTTCTAATTTCTTGAATGAAATGGCATATGTTTTGGAACTAGCACTGAGAACTTGTGACTAGCAAATTGTTTTACCTTCTTCTCCTGGGTTGTGTGAAATGGTAACTTGGCTTGTTTATCCACGTTTGTAGGTTGCTGCGGAGCATGTTGTAATTTTAAATTCTGTAAATCGTGCATTACCTTTTCAAATTACGACTGCAGATGATGTGAAAGATGTCATAACAGAAGAGATCCGTTTGAGGTATTTTGCTTCAGTTGTCTGCTATTCTTTTCCGATTCCACTTCATGCTCTTTCTTTCTGAAGCATCAGTGTGCATATTACATGTCATTTCTCTCTGAAGTGTCAATGCATATGCGATGTACAGTTAAATTCTTCAACTGATTTAAAATATCACTTAAACTACCACAGTCCTTGACTTAGATCTGTAAGAACCACTGCTGCCAATCATGCTACTAATCATGCAGGGATATGTTTATTCGTTTTATTTTTATGCTGAGATATTTTTGAAGATTGATAGGCTAATATAACTCTTAACACATGAGAAAAAAGAGGAATTCTGTTGTTATTTGGGATATTAGAAGAAAGTAATTTGAGATCTTAAACGAGATATATCTTTTGATTGCTTCCCCCCTTGAAGATAGTGAAAAACAGTGAAAGTACTTATTATAAGAAAATTTAGGCATATAAATAATTTAATTTAATTTTAAGATTACTCTTATAATGATTATCATGAACTTAACTACGTTATATTTATACATAAAAATAGGATCTACTGTTTTATGTGTGTATTGACACTTAGTAGATCGGTGCATCAATGCATGCCCATGCGGTCTTAGTTGTCTGTACATTGAGATTTTGTTGCACATCCTAAAGGAAATAGAGTGTTTTTATGGTGACTTATTTGTTACCTCCTGTGCGCATCAGCAAGGCATGGATCCTCATTGTACTATATTGTCGTAAGAGTTTGGTAGTCTAGTTGTTTTTATAAAGATGAATTTTCACTGCTGTACTGAATTTACTTTCTGAAATATAATTATGGAAAGTCATGTTTAAATTATGTCATTGGTACCAACTAATTTAGATGTTGTCACTTGAAATATAATTATGGAAAGTCATGTTTAAATTATGTCATTGGTACCAACTAATTTAGATGTTGTCACTGAGCATCAGGCACTTCTTGTTTTGAGGTAACACTAATATTAGCTGCGTGTCTATGTATCGACCTATGTAAAATACCTTGCTGTTACTGAATTTGTAGATTACATGTGATTAAACATTGCAGTGAAAATTAGTTTTTTTTCTAATACAACGAAGCTCTTTAAAATGATATTAGATATCGGTTCCTTGATTTACGACGGGCACGAATGCAGTTCAATCTGAGGTTGCGACACAGGGTGGTCAAGCTCATCAGGCGATATTTAGAGGATATTCATGACTTTGTAGACGTATGTTCTGAAACCCAACCTATATTTTTATGCAGTTATAGGAGTTCTTGTACTTTTGTGATTGTAAGTTTTCCTATTGATCCTTGCAAAAGGAGATGCAAATTGATCAGGTTGACTATGAGGGTGTTTGGGGGATCTTATTTTTTGAGTTTTTTTGGTTAGGCTAGCTTTTAAGCTAGCTTTTCTATGTCTACATGTTAGGTGACGTCTTAAATTAGCTAGCTTGTGAGCCTCATTTAGAAATGTTGTGGTTCTTAAAAATAACTTATAATCTCATCTAGTAAGTAAGGTTTGACCAATCAAATGACATTTTTACCCATGCTAGTCTTATAAAATTTTTATCATGAAAAGCCAAAAGCCACCAAAAACTAAGCGTAGGTTATATAAGCTTCAAAAAATAAGTCCCCCCAAACACCCTCTACCTGATCAGTGAAAGTGCCTGATTGAACTTGAAGGAAGATGCCTTTCAAGTGTAATAACTGAATGTGTCCTATTTATTTTGATCAAGCCCTGTTTAATGGAAAGGTCATTGTTAGCCAAGTACTTCAGTCCAATCTCAATAACAGTGGACCTGGATTCTAGCTGACCCATTTGCTTCCCAAGTGCACATTGTTTAAAGTATCCTTTTAATATTTGCTAGTAGATAATATTTTAAATTTAGCTGCATTACTTGACATTGATTTATTCCTTTTTCTTATTACAAGATAGATCGAGACCCCAATATTGTCTAAATCAACACCCGAAGGTGCACGAGACTATCTTGTACCATCACGTGTTCAGGTAATGAAAATCTGTTACTTTAACTCATTTTATTTATGTCTTTATTTATAAATAAGCACGGAATTTGTCTTGCTGTTGCAATATAATGTTCTGAATTTCTATTAATAATTTATTCAGATTGTGGGTTGTTTCTTTTGTTCTTTGCATATAGGAAATGGTTGTAGGCACCATTTATTACTAACAGAATTGGAAATATTAAGTGGACTTAACTCATCAGAAGGTTTCACTAAATTTTCTATAAGCTTGTCATTTATGGTCTGTTTAGCTGCAGGGATTGAAAGCTCACATTTCATTTTAATTCTGAAAATAAGAATTATGGAATCAGAATGCTTATGTTGTTTGGTCGGAATGGTAGAATCTATTGAATTCTTATCTTGTACTTGGTTGGACATATTTGCACTCTGGTTTCACATTTGTTTATTAGTCGATTGTATATATCACTTAGCTGATGGTAGAATTTTCTCCACCGTGATAAATAATAGCTACTATAAAGATGAACTTTGGGTTACTTAACAGTTTTCTTAGGAAAACTTGTTATTCAAACTTGTTATTCAACTGTAAGAGCTTCCTTGAACTGAAATTCACTCATTTTCAGGATGAAAACCATTCTTCCACTCTTTGTAGGAAACTTTTGAATTCCAATTCCGGAAATTCTAAATGTGATAATGGCTGAATGGTGGATTTTCAGTCTTGGTATAGGATATCATGATAGTCAAATTCCTTCTAAGTATGATACTAAACAAGGGAGACTTGGACCCGGTTTCAAAATGGGTAATCCTGACTGAAATGCACCGTTAAAGGAGGAAACATCTGAAGGGGCCATCCACTATATGGATGGGATATCTGTCATAACAATTAGCACAAATAATTCAATGAAGGTGTTATACTTGTGTGGTATACATATAGGGAAAATGGACACTTCAATACTTTATGGACACATCATATTGTCTTTAACACACCCTAAGCATTTATAAAATTGCGCCGTGTGGTCATTGCTTTACAATTATCTCTGATTATTTTCAACTCATTGTTTTTTATTGTTCGAACACCAAAAGAACACTTGATCCTCCCCAGAGTCTGAATGGCACGAGCCTCTGGCATTGATCATCGGTCCATTCTTGGAGCCCATGAATATACTCAACCCGGCCAACTATAGATCTTCCTTACCATGAATCTTTTCTAAAACAGGAGAGATCAATATACATCAAATGGGTGGAATTTAGTGTTAGAAACTTATTACGGTGCATGGTCCCATACAAGAATATTAAAAGAATCTAACTGGTTGCCTTGCTAACATCCCAATTGAATACTCTAGTCACAAAGTAATTGCTTGGTCTAATGTATGCTATTGATTTTGATGGCCATCGTGCACTGCAATGTGAATGAAGGGGTGAGGATCTTATTGTCTCATGAATTGAGCTATGCTGATATGGCGGTGGGCAAAACTGTTACCATAGCTTTCATGCTTTTTAGGAAAATATACTACTTTCCCTTGAATAAAGCTGCATCTTACTTTAAAAAAAATCATGCAGAAAATTTATTGCTCTGCTAATCTTTTGGCAATGTGGTATTTGAAGCCAGGATCATTCTATGCTTTACCTCAAAGCCCACAGTTGTTCAAGCAAATGCTGATGGTGTCTGGATTTGAAAGATATTATCAGATAGCGAGGTACATTCTTTGATCTTGTTAAATTTTCTTAGTTTTTGGGGATGCACTTATTTGTTGTGGTTATTCATTTATATTGCTCTCCTCATATATCGTAATGCAAGGCCACATGTGATGCTTTAGCATTATCGGAAATGAGGGAACTTTCTACCATTACCTCCATCTTATTACTTTTGACTAGAAATATTCTATAAAGTAACTAAAGACTTGTATGTATAATGATGATGTTACAACAACGACAAACAGCAAAGACTTTTATCTCGAACTCATATGAACAACAAATTTTGAGAGTGGGACATATAGATAACGCTTTTG